AGTGATATGAACAAATGAAGCATTTAAAGTGTGGTAAAAAGAGATGGGCATTTGTGGTACACGCCTTTAATCCCAGCACCCGGGAGGCAGAGGCAGGCAGATCTCTGTGAGTTCGAGGCCAGCCTGGTCTACTGAGCAAGTTCCAGGACAGCCTCCAAAACAATACAGAGAAACCCTGTCTCAAAAAACAAAACAAAAAAAAAGGTGTGGTAAAAAAATTAAGTAGTTTAAAAATACATCTTATTTCTCTTCCCACTCCTCCAAGCCTAGGTTTCTCCTATTTATTTTCTCTCCCTCTCAGCCCTGTCTGTCCTTTCTCCTGCCTAGCTCCTGGGCATTCAAGTTTTCATTAGACAAGCCAGGCGCCTTAGGTAGGAAACAAATAGACACATCTTTTCATAATTAGACAAATGCAGCATAAGCAAAAGCAACACACCTTTACACAATTAAAGTAAGACTCTGCAGCATAAGCAAATGTAGCACACCTTTGCCTAGTTAAAATAATATTCCCCCACACTAGTCTACTAAAGGAACGTAGCAATAAATTGACTCCTAGCAACATTCTGCTAGGTGGGTGTGTCTCATGCGGCCCTTAACACAGAAGCTTCCTCCTGCAGTAGACGGGAACTGGATATGGAGGCCCACAAGTGGGAAATGTGTGATGCCTTCCTCAAACCCTTCCCCTCAGGGCTCGAGCAGAAAAGGAGTCAGGAAAATTGTAATAGCCAGAGGGAATGGATGACTTCAAGGACAGTGTCCTCCAGACACAACAGGACTGATATGCAGAGACCACGGCAGCAGGCTTGCACAGGCCCAAACCGGATGTGGTTGCAGTGCTAAGAAGGAGCTCCCATCCCTAAGCAGGAAGCAATCTCCAGCTGATAGCTGCATGCAAAGGAGAAAATTTGTTTTCTCCAGTGGAGTCTCACTGTGTATGTAAACTACACTTAAAGGGCAGGTTCCATGCCCAGCAGTGTACAACCAACACAAAATGAATTTTTTTTAAAGATTTATTTATTTATTATGAATACAACATCCTGCCTCCAGGTACGTCTACACATCAGAAGAGGACACCAGATCTCATCACGGATGGTTGTGAGCCACCATATGGTTGCTGGGAATTGAACTCAGGACCTCTGGAAGAGCAGCCAGTGCTCTTAACCTCTGAGCCGTCTCTCCAGCCCACAAAATGAATTTAATAGTATTTCTGGAGACTTTTTTTTTTTTGTGTCTCATACTGATTTGTTTGGACTTTTTTTTTAACCTTAACTGTCTTTTGCTTGTATATTATAGTTTCTGATTTTGTGTTTGCCTAGGTTTTGTGTGTGTGTGTGCTTGTATATTATAGTTTCTGATTTTGTGTTTGTCTAGGTTTTGTGTGTGTGTGTGCTTGTATACTATAGTTTCTGGTTTTGTATGTGTGGGTGTATCTACATGAGAATGTTTCTCATGCTCTTTCTTTGCTTCTTTTTGTTTGTTCATTTGCTAGTCTATTTTGTTTTATTCTTGATTTCATGTTATTTACCTGTTTGTTTTCTTAAGAGAGAAAAAGAAAGCATAGAGTTGGAAGAGTGGGGAAGATCAGTGAGGAAACCAGGGAGAAGAAACCATGATCAGAATATATTTCATGAAAAACACTACTTTCAAAAAAAAAAAAGCTGGGCGTTGGTGGCGCACGCCTTTAATCCCAGCACTCGGGAGGCAGAGGCAGGTGGATCTCTGTGAGTTCGAGACCAGCCTGGTCTACAGAGCGAGTTCCAGGACAGCCTCCAAAGCCACAGAGAAACCCTGCCTGGAAAAACCAAAAAAAAAAAAAACAAAAAAAAAAACAAAAACAAAATCGTGTAAAATTTTCAAAGAGTAAATAACAGGATTATTTTGAAAAATTGTTTAGTGTATGTATCTGTACTAGAAAAGGCAGTTATATGATAGATACATGATGGATGGATGGATGGATAGATAGATAGATAGATAGATAGATAGATAGATAGATAGATAGATAGATAGATGAAGAGTTTATTGGGGTTCACTTGCAGCTCCAGAGGGGAAAGAGTCCATCATGATGGAGAGGGTTAGCGGCAGGCAAGCAGCAGGTACGGCTGTGGGAGCAGGAAGCTGAGGGCGAACCGGAAGGGCACGAGGCTTGGAGTCTCAAGGCACCGCCCCCAGTGATGTACTTCCTCCCGCAAAACTGCGCCACCGGAACCTCCCCAAACAGCGCCAACCAACTGGAGACCAAATGCCTGAGACTACGGAGGCTCCTCACCCTGATACCACACCCATAGGAAACACCGTGTCCACATCAAATGCCACACCCATAGGAAACACCGTGTCCACATCAAATGCCACACCCATAGGAAACACCGTGTCCACATCAAATGCCACACCCATAGGAAACACCGTGTCCACATCAAATGCCACACCCATAGGAAACACCCTGGTCCACATCAAATGCCACACCCATAGGAAACACCCTGGTCCACATCAAATGCCACACCCATAGGAAACACTGTGTCCACATCAAATGCCACACCCATAGGAAACACCGTGTCCACATCAAATGCCACACCCATAGGAAACACTGTGCCCACATCAAATGCCACACCCAAACTCGGGTTTTCAGTCTCTCAAACTGTGAACTAAATAAACTTTTTTTCCCTTTATAAATGCCTAGCTCAAGGTATTTTGTTATAGCAATAGCCAAGTCACCAATAGAGTGGGCATCCCTGAACTTGTCACTTTCCTGTTAAAGGTAATTAAATTAAACCAAATGACTCTAGGACAGCTCGTAGGAGTGTGCAGGCCACACAATGGTAGTTTTCTTCCTGCTTGTCTTAGAAAAGAGTCCCTCTAAAGACCTTTGAAATATTGTTTATACAGTGCTTGACAAGGATCAGAATTTTTCACTTCTCCTAAGTGAGTTTATGTTTCACTGTAATTATTATAACTTCTGAGGAGGTGCTACATGGATAATCACTAAATAGATTATCAGTGATCTGTAAATGTACTCATGAAGAATATGAAAGAAACATATAATAGAGATGCTTACAGCCTAACTGGTGTCATGTATAAACAAAATCAGCAAAGACTAATTAGATAATATGTATATGTTGCAACACAGTCCCTTACTTGAAACTTTTGAAGCCAGTGCTTTTTGGAACTTGGAACCTGTTGGACTTTCAAAACGTAAATAGTGTGGGCTGGAGAGATTGCTCAGTGCCCAAGAGTACTTGCCGCTCCTGCAGAGGAGCCAAAACAAGTGCTTCCTTCTTTTAAGTTGGTTCTCAGGTATTTTATGACAGTAACAGAAAGCAGACTACCATCTAGCTGAAATATGGTAAACAAACGCAGGATAATGGGAAAGTGTAGATCTGGCAAATCCCAGAAATCTCATAGATAGGTAGACAGACAGATAGATAGATGCCACATATATCTGGCAAATGCCAAAAATATCGTGTGTGTGTGTGTGTGTGTGTGTGTGTGTGTGTGTGTGTGTGTGTCTGTATGCATATATCCCATATATGTCTATGGGATATATTAGAATGACTAACAGGCTATAGTCCAGCTACTCCAACAATGGCTGTCTACCAACAGACAGTCTAAAACTCTAGTAATTGTTCTGTCCACAAGACTGATGTCTCAGCTGGTCTTCAGTATACAACGAAATCTCTAAGAAGCAGGCTCTAATGCCAGGGAAGGAGTGGACTTGCCAGCAAGAGTGAGGGCAAGCAGGCCAAGAGAGAGAGAGCTTCCTTCTTCCATGTTCTTTGCGCAGGCTGAACCGAAAGATGTGGCACAGACCAGAGGCAGATCTCCCCATCTCAGAAGACCCAGATTACAGGCTGGCCTTCCCCTTTTACATGACTGAACTAGGAAAAATCTCTCACAGGTGTGCCCCGCTGCTTGGGTTGTAGTTAGCTTCAGGTGTAGTCAAGTTCACAACCAAAAATAGCCATTTCTATCTTTCTTTTTTCCTTCCTTCCTTCCTTCCTTTTTCTCTCTCCATCTAACCTCCAACTCCCTATGCCAGACTCAGTCTATGGGACCAACGTCTGTTTACCCAGTATAGCCCAGATAAAACGTTAGCTGACTGAGTGGCTAAAAAAAAAATCTGGAATAATGAGGGCCCAAAAAGAAAAGGTAGAAGAAAAGGAGAACACAGAAAATCCTGAGAGAAGAAAGAAACAAAGGAAAAAGAGAAAGGTTGTGAAAATAGAAGGATGGGAAAGGGGGAAGGGGAGGGGCCCTTACCCAAGCACCTGTTCTCGCGCCGCCTCATCGGCAAGCTCTGTAATTTTCCAGCTCAGGATAAGAAGCCTAGCCACGCCGGGCGTTGGTGGCGCACGCCTTTAATCCCAGCACTCGGGAGGCAGAGGCAGGTGGATCTCTGCGAGTTCGAGACCAGCCTGGACTACCAAGCGAGTTCCAGGACAGCCTCCAAAGCCACAGAGAAACCCTGTCTCGAAAAACCAAAAAAAAAAAAAAAAAAAAAAAAAAAAAAGAAGCCTAGCCACATGATTTCCCAGACACGGTCCTAGATAGAATCACTTTAATTGCACTTGCATCAGAGAAGGGCATTGTCTTGTACAGGGCCCGGGAGTCTGTGATTACCACATAGGCCCCATGTGGGTAACAGGGAAGGAGATGAGTAAAAGATGCAGTGAACTCTTCCAACCTGTGCCCAAGTTGTACTCAGTTCAGGGATGAGGCTGAAGACCATGGCTAAGGTAGGGTCTAGAGCTTGGCCTTTGTGTGGCCGGGACTGAAGGCGAGAGGCATCTAGGAGAAACTAGGCATTATTTTGCCATTGCTGACCCCAGGAACAAAATGGTAGTTGGATGATCCCTAATGCAAAGAATAACTGTATTTTCAGGAGCCAAAGATCAGATCATCGGTGGTCCATCCTCTCCTCCCAGGGTCTTCTCTATAGGGCACCCAAGTGGGGGACAGAAGCATGGGCAAACGGAAATGCGGAAAGAAGAGAGACCATGAGACAGAGAGACGGGAAAGGCGGGAGTTGCCTCAACCGATCTTTACTTGCGTGGAGCCGTTGCACGTTATCATAATGAACTTTTCAGTTATGTACGTCAGGTAATGGCAGTGCGGAACGACTTGGCCTGGTTTGGACAACAAGCACACAGTCAGCTCAAAAGGGCGGGAGCTTCTGTGACATTTGGACCCCTTGAGGTCACAGGCAATCTCAGGACTGTCACAGACTTCCTTGACTGTGCTTGGGGTTTCGTGGATGAATGTGTACTGGTTTATGCAACTGTGGTTATACCCTTTCATCTTGGGTGCCATCATGGTGTTGCAGTCCCTGGCGCTGAAGTCAAACCGAAGGCGGTGGTCTTGTTGGCTCTGAGGGACGGCCTCGGCCCTCAGCATCCTGCTTTCCCCAACTTCGTCTTCGTTGAGGACGGTCTCCCCTGGCCAGCTAGATCGCGCCATTTCCTCGTAGTCAAGCACCAGGGCTTCTGTGGTCCGGGAGCCTTCTCCCTCTGCGGTGGCCTCAGCTGCGTTCCTGGAGTCGCCAGGCCAAAACTCGCTGAGCGGCTGATCACTACCCTGCAGGACTGCGGCAGCCATGTGAAGGCCCAGGCCCAGGCCCAGGCCCAGGCCCAGCAGCAGCAGCAACATCATGAACAGCGTGTGCACCAGAGTCACCTTCATTTTGCCTGGAGAAGAGGGGGAAGATGAAGGCATGATGTAGACATAAACTCTGGCCCGTGTCATGGTTAGCCAAAGTCAGCAAGCTAGGCCTCAGTTTCTCCACTCAATTCATGTTACTCCACCTACCTAAGGCAATGAATCTCTCTCTTGAACATTTCTTTTGCTCTGCCTCACCACATCCCCCTTCCCTGTGTAATAAGGTGTGGGTCTTGATGATTGGAAAAATAACCAGTAGAAGTGAGTTTAAACAGGTTTGTACCCGAGGAATCAATAAGGGAACGTGATACCACTCCATCCTTTTACATGTGATGCTGGAGCCTTGGACATGCTAAGCCAGAGCTCTCCCTTTCAGATCGAGCCCGCTAGTCAATTCTTAAACAGAAATTACTTCCCAATCACCAAAGAGGATAGCTAAGCCTAATGAATACAGAGAAACGCTCACAGAAAACCTTCCTCTAGGTAAAGAACTAGACTCATCGTAGGAGACGCTGTATTCATTTTTTATCCCAGATTTATTTTACTTGTTATTATATTACCCTTCTTCCCAAAAGAGCTAAAAATGAATAGGAAGAGTACTAGGTTCATTCTCACTCCCAAAGTAAAGCTCCAGAAATGTCCAGGCACAGCTCAGGCCTTGGCTACATTTTGCAGTTCGAGCTTCTGTTTGTAGTTAGGGAGGAAAAGCGGTAGTGCTTTCTCACTCCCTAGCTATCATGGTTGGCCGCCAAGGCAGGACGATGGGAGCTGGAAAGAAGACAGGCCTTTGGGGTTACCAACTCCAGGCCCCACCGTGTTAGGAAAAGGGGAAGGATACGCTAGACCAACTCCAGGCCCCACCGTGTTAGGAAAGGTGGGAAGCATACGCTAGGTACAAGCAGACTCTAAAGAGGATGAGACAGGTAAGCGTGAAACTGACCAGCCTGGCTGGGCGGTGGTGGCGCACGCCTTTAACCCCAGCACTCGGGAGGCAGAGGCAGGCTGGACCTACAGCCTCCAAAACAATACAGAGAAACCCTGTCTCATAAATACCAAAAAACAAAAACAAAACTGACCAGCCTGGTCAAGAACTGCCTAGCTGTGAGGAGATCTGAAATAGGATACTATACTCTTGACCAAAGTTGGTGTCCTTTGCTCCAATAACACTGAATTGGGCCCAGTACGTGCAAAAGGCTACAGCGCATGAGCTCTGGCTGTCACTGACTCAAGCGATCCTGACTTATCAGAAGCTTGCCAGGACAGACCAGTGAGAAATAGACTGGGAAAGACTTTTCTTTAATAAAACTAACCCAAGCGTGGTTTTGTTTTAAAGACGAGGAAAGAAAGAAAGGCAGGAAGAATGAAGTCCAATGGGCTGTGGGTGTGGCTGAGTTGGTAGAGATCTTGCCTAACACGCAGAGGCCCTGGGATTGCTAGCTCCCTCCTACCTACCCGACCCTGCTGTGGCTTACCTGTGCTTGTAAGCAGCTTCAGACAATCCTGGCTCTTTCTGTGCCCCTGGCTCTGCCCTTTCTTCTCTGTGAGCAGTTCCCAGAAGCCACTCCCCATAAAAATCTATCTCCTTGCCTGCCATGGGCTTTTAAACACAGCCGTATTTCCTGAACCCACTCCTCTTCCCTCCTTCCCAGCACAGAATAAACACAGATAATTTGCATTTCTGCTCCCACAAACACTTTGAAGTGAAGCAGTTTAGGCAACGGCAGGAAGTGTCGTCTAGCCCAGGGAGGCTGCAGACAGTTTGATGCCATTAGTCAACTGTTGTACCCTGAGTTAACGCCCACTAACCTGTGGTTTAGAGCCGTCTGACCCTGTGCATGAATGTCAAGCCTTGTACTCTTGTTCTGCACGTACTGACTTAAGCCCTTTCTGGAATGTTCATTTCTGGTGGTTTGCTTTTGTTCTTGTTTTTCTTTTATTTACATTACTTTCCCAACACTGCTTCTCACAGTTTACCACTTTGTATCATGATTTCATCTTTTTTTTGGTCCTAGAAAAAGATTACCCAAGCCAGAAGAGTTCATCAGCTCCTATAGGGGGTGAATAAAGCCAGTCAGCTCACTGTGTAGATAGATATTCCCTTGTCTAGCTCAATTCCAGGTCACCTGGGGATTGCTAACAGCTCCAGATCCACCCTCACGTCTCACCGGGGTGTTTTCTCTAGTTGTTGGGTAGGGTTCTGAGAGTTCTGTCATCTACAAGTTTTTTTTTTTTTTTCCTTTTGAGCTGTGACTCATTCATGAGTGGCAAGCAAATGCGTAAGTAGAGGCTAAGTAAAACCTCACCTACCCTCTGCTAAGCCTACTGTAGGTTTGCTTCAACTAGAGGAAGAGGCCTTTCTCATAACTCTTATGAAGGAGCTGTGGAGATCTGAGGGTTTAGACGGCTTTACATTTTAGTTCACGCTCATGTAAGTCACTTCACATGCCCTCGGACCTCTTTACTACATGAGCTTTAGAATTACTCCTCCAGTTTTATAATGAAATTGAAGCCACAAGCTGTTTAAGTGACCTGTGTAAGCCACGTTAGCAGGATGTGGAGGGACGGGAGGGGGGGGCAGCTCTACCAACTGCCACCCACGGCTCCTTGTCTTTGTGAACAAAACCACCGGAGAGAAGCTGTATCCGTAGACACTGCCTGATTAGAATTCCAGTGCTGTGGAGAGACCGGAACGCTGCAGGGCTAGCTCTAGCCTTCCTGAACAGTTAGCCATTCCTTGTCGGGGCCAGTGTCTGAACTAAGCATCTTGTGACTAACAGATGGAAATCTTTTGCAACCTATTAACTTAGCAGACCACTGGCCTCCACCAACGCAATAGCTAAGAATGTCATCAGACAGCACCTTAGGTCTATTAAAAAAAAAAAAGCTTCCTCCATCTCGATGTATCGGCCTCTCTGATGTACCCACCAATGTATTTTAAATCTGCCTTGATCTGTGCCTTTAATCTTTCTGTAAAACTATCAGGTTCATGAAAGTGCTTCTCACCCATTCAGGCCCTGGGTCCCTTTGACAGACTATAACTCTTTGAGGAGTGATTGTACTATTTTGTTCTTCTATGTGACTATTTTTGGAAGCTATGTACGTCGGAGGAGTTTTGCTAGTAACATATAAACAACAAAACACTCCATAGTCACTTCACTCTGGTGCCAAAGAAACTTCCAGAACCAATAAAATCCATGGAGCCTTCTGTTCCAAAAGTTCTGTTTTTCACAGCCTCCACTTTTTCTAGAAAAAAAAATGCATGAATGTTTAGAGAGTAACCAACCAACTTGTTATTGAAGTTGGGGCCCAACAAGAAAGTGGTTGGATTAAAGGCATGCACTTTGCACCATCCTGCCTAGTTGTAGGTTACTTTTTTAAAATGTTCAGTAGCTGTTCATCGCTGTTGTTTTAGACTTCTGCCAGGGAAGGAAGTAGGTTGATTGTAGACTGTCATCTCTCCTTTTCTCCTCCAGATCCAGTCTCCCGGTCTCGCACCCAGCTCTGCAACAGAACTCCCGCTTTAGTCTCCCTTTCCTCTTTGACCGCACCCTTAATGGATCAGAAGATCTTCTCTTTCAACCTTCCTTCTCCCAACTCATCCCGTTGCTTCACCTTCAACACCCGAGCAGCCATCCCTGGGAACACACCAGCTGAGCAGGCCAGGGAGCCAGGCAAACTAGCTGAAGACCTTGGCCCCTCCCTCCTCTCCTCCAAACCCAATCCCCCAGTCTCATCCCCGCCCGGCAACAGAACCCCTGCTGCGGGCCTCTTTCCCCATCTGCCCACATCTCCTGTGGATGCCACAGACCTTCCCCTTCTACCCCTCCCATCCCCCAACCCCCCACCTTGTGGCTTTATCCCAGCCACCAACTCCAGCTGCATTGCTTGCTAACCCACTGACCACTCCTGGCAGGGAAGCAGGTAAGTTGTCTGTAGATCTTCCTCTCTCTGTCTTTTCCTCTAGATCCAATCCCCCAGTCTCATCCCAGCAGACTTTCCGGGGTGACCTCTCTTCATTCTCTATACCCACTCCAAGTAAGCAGATCCTGGTGAAACACCCTGCTCTCCTCCCTCCTGTGAACTCCTGCAGACCCCTAGTCTATCCCCATTCCTAGGCATCAACTCTCAATACCCGGAAACACATTTACCTGTATACCCAAGTAATTCACAGAAAATTTCCTACCAGGCAATACACAGCCACCATACTCTTCTAAAATCCAGAGATGAAACTAAAACCAAGAAAAAAAAAACACCCACCAACAAAGACAAAACCAGATATCAACTCCTAGAACTATGGTCTTCACAATCCCAGATACTTAAATGGCAACATAAAAGCACAATCAGAAATGGTTAGACTTTTCCCACATTGTGTACGGTTTGGGGTACAGGTTTGTCACATGCACCCGTTATTATATTGAGATATTTTTCCCATCTGTAATTTCTCTACTAGGATTTCAAATCATGAACCAATTTTAGCTTTGCCAATGATTTCATCTATGTCTATTGAGATAATCATCTGATTTCTGTACTTGGCAGCATTTATGTAAAGAATTATATTTACTTATTTACATATTGAGGTGGTTTGAAGGAGAATGGCTTCCATATGCTCATATGTTTGAACACTTGGTTCCTAGTTGGTGGAACTCTTTGGGAAGGACTAGGAGGTGTGGCCTTGTTGGATGATGATGGGGGATGTTTATCTGCATTTATGTTTCTCTACTGGTTGATGAATAAAACACAGATTGACCAGTAGAGGCAGGAGAATAGGCAGGGCTAGGAGACGAGGAGAATGCTGGGAAAGGAGGCAAGAGAGGGCCACAAGGAGATGCCATATAGAAACCAGGAAGATGGGACGCTCCAGGTGTTCTCTGGTAAGAAAAAGCCGTATACGAATACATAGATTAGCAGTTATGGGTTAATAATTAAGAGAGAGCTAGCCAGTAAGAAGCCCTAGCCATCGGCCAACAATTTAATAATTAATGTGACTCTGTGTATTTATTTGGGGCTGAAGGGTGGCGGGACCTGGTGGGACAGAAACCTCCATCTTCAGGATGAAGTGTGTTCCAGGGCAGGCTTTGAGGTTTCAGATGCTTCCTGTCATCCTTAGTGCCAGCTCTGCTTCCTGCCTGTGGTCTGAGAAGTGATCTCTCAGCCGTTCCTGCTGCCATCCCTTCACTACCCCGACACGGACCCTAACCCTCTGAAACCATAAGCCCAGCTAAATGCTTTCTTTTATAAGTTACCTTGGTTATGGCGTCCCGTCACAGCAAGAGAAAAGTAACTTATATAGAAAAAAAAAGTGACTATTTCTGTGAAGAACCTGACTGTGTGGGGTTTTTTTTTTTTCAAGGAATGTGAAAGCTTTGGGACTTTGGAGTAGGAAAGCAGTTGGATGCTGAAAGCAAAGCTTAGCAGGCCACCCTAGTAGGCGCTAGTAGACAGTAATGTTGGGAGTTATATGGGATGTGGAGGCCCAGTTCAAGATGCTTCAAGGGAGGCAGGGACTTTAGCATCAACTGGGCTAGCAACTGTGCTTGGGATATTTTGGAAAAAGATATGGCTGTATTTTGATCTAGTTCTAGAAATTTGCCTGAGGCTAAATTTAAAAGTAATAGACTAATTCCTCTGGCAGAGGGGATTTTAAAGACAGCCTAATATTGACTTTGTTGTGGTTATTAGTAATTACTCTTATGCAGGTCTATAATGAAAAAGAGCAATCTAGGCAAAAAGAAAAACAAAAATAGTTTGAAGAGAAAAAGAGTACCAGGAAATTTAATGTTGGGGCCAACGCTTATGCTGAGAGAAATAAAGAAACTGAAGAAAAAAAAAAAGGCCAATTATGCATTGGAATAAAGGGAAGGACGCCTTCAGGGCAAGACCCCACATAAGTAAGTTTCCAACTTGTGAAAGGAAAAGTCTGATGAATTTTCTGCTTCTAAAATGCAACAAATGAAAGCTGCCACAGGTGTGATTCAAGGGTCCCGGGGTTAGTCCCACGCTGGAAGCTAAACTTGGGAATGTCACCCATGTGGGTCTGCCTTTAGAGTAACTACCGATTTCTGAGTACAGGGCTTGTTGAATCTTCCTCTGAAGTTAAGGAGAGTTGCTGAGGCCAGGCAGTGTATGTCAGGGCACTCTCTGCATGGAGGCCCTCACAGGCTGTTGCTTGAAGATGTGGAAGTGAAGCTTGGGTTGGGTTGGAAATCCCAAGATGTTACAGGTAGGTCCCAGAGCTGTTGGATATCTGCCAAGGAGAGCTACACACAGAGAGTGGAACCAGTTTCAGAAAGAGGTGTATGTCTGTCACAGGCAGAAAAGCTGAGGAGATGGTGACAACTCAGTCCTTGGACATCAGCTGTAGAGCTACAGGATGTGGTATTTTCCATGCTGGTTTTTGGTCTCGCATTGGTCCAATGGTCCCTCACTATGCCTCTGCTTCCTCCCCTTTGGAAGAGTAATGGCTCTTCCATGCCTTAGGACATTGGAAGTGTAGGATTTGTGTTTTGAGTTGCAGGGAGTTACAGTTCAGGGCTTGTCTTGAGTCTCAGAAGAGATCTTTTTTTTTTTTTTTTTTTGGTTTTTCGAGACAGGGTTTCTCTGTGGCTTTGGAGGCTGTCCTGG